CTAGTTCGTACAACCAATCTTTAGCCTTTTCCAAGAGAGAAAAGGGAAAAGCCTTCATCTTCAAAATGCTCCCATCAACATTCACCGGGGTCATACTTGAGCAAACAACCTCGAACTCTTTCAAGTGCTTATTAGGATCTTCCATGGACAACCCATGGAACTTAGGAATATGATGCAATAAACTGGACTTGAATTCGAACTCGTCAGTCTTGTCGGGGGCTGCCCTTGGATATTGAATGCATAGAGGCATGGCATTAACCAATCCCGAAGCGGAAAGCTCCTTGATTGTTCGGTTGTCGGCAGCCATAACTTGTTCTTCCTCAACAACCCTTGCCGTGGCTTCCTCCTCCACTTCTATTTCGTCCTCCACTTGTATTTCGTCCTCTTCAAGGTCTGGTGCAGGTGGAGGTGGTTGAGGCTCTTGTTGATTCTTCTTTCTTCTCAAGGCTCGCTCAAAATCGTCGTCAAAGTCTAAGATATTCGCATGAACCGGTTGAGAACTCCGAGTCATAAACTAGTGCCTAAAACAAGGAAACAAACAAGTCAGAAACTAAAACTAATAACAAACTAATAACACATGAAAATAACTAAAAAGAAATAACAAGGGATTAGCAAAGTTGCTAATCCCCGGCAACGGCGCCAAAATTTGATGCGAAAATTAACTTCACACACAAATTAACCCTCTTTTGACAATTGTAGCATATAAATAAGTAGGGATCGTTCTTACACCGGGGATTAGGAGGGCTTGCTAAACACTCTAAACTGACTCAAATAACTAAAATTAACCTTCAAAACACTTAAACTCACATAAAAAGACTCAAAAACGTTCACAAGACTCAAAATAGGCTAAAAACACTCAAAACTGCCTTAAAAACACAATCTGGGCAGTTTTGAGCCTAAACACAAACTTGGACAAAAATTGGTTCTAACTTGACTCAAAACTCTTAAAAACACAATCTAAAACATATTTGGACCAATTAGACACTCTAAGACAATTGGGGATTTGGTTTTGGACGAAAATAAACAAAACAAAACAAATATGTAAACTAGGCAGATTTGGACGAAATTGGTGGAATTAAATGGATGGTGAGATGGCTAGGAGGTTTTTCTCCACACATGGCATACTTGCACATAATACAATTTCCAGTTGCTTAATCAATGAATTTATTAACCTCAACACCCCAAGTTAATTAGGTACGCTTAAATTAACTCTCAGATTTCCCTTAGGTCATTGAATTGAATGGAATTGGCGCATTGCAATCAAATTATTCCTTAAAAGTTCTCTATATGAAAGCGCATAATAGAAAAACAATCAAAGATCATTAGATTCTATGGAAATCATAGGTGTTGACGAGGCATTCATAACTATGAAAGCGCATGATACTTATGCCAAGAATTCACTTATCATAATTGTGACCAACAATCTTAACTACTCATGAATATAAGTTCCCAACGATTAGGTGAAGTTCCCTCATACCCTAGCATCATGTTTATGCATGCAAATCAAGCGTGCACTCTCAATTCATACACATAAGCAAGTTTTAATTAAAATAGATAAGTAAATTGAATTCATCATTCATGAAATCGCAACTGAAAGTAATCAAATCATCATGCAAATACAACCATGGTTTCGAAATTCCCCCCTAGCCAAAGGGGGGATTAGTTCCTCATGCTTGCACAACAAAAAGTATTGAATTTAAACATTGAAATCATAAGAAAGAGTACACCTAAATGCTCAGCAATTCCAAGATGGATTCGATGCACAGATTGGCTCCTCTTCCTCCTCCTTGCTGCGGCACAAAGTGTAGGTGCTGGAATTGGTGGTTTTGGATGGTTTTTCCTTGTTTAGAGGGATGGAGGATGGTTGATTATGGTGGGGAAGGTGCGGCAGAGGTGTATGGATGTGTAGGAAGGTGTATGGAGGTCAAGAATGGAGAATGGAGGTGCGGCACAAGGGTTTTCTGTCTAGCATAGGGTGTGGTACGAATTTTTGGCTGAATTTAGGTTTATATAGTCCTAGGGTTAAGTAGATTAGGGTTACACTTAGCAGATTTTATGGATTAGGGCCCTAGAATTCGGCTATAGGTGAATCAAATCCACTTACGAGGAGGTTTTGGCCCACATAGTTTTATAAAAGGATTTGTAAACCCAAATACACAAGGATTAGGCCTTAGAAATCAGAATCCCAAAGGCATTGGGCCTAGGAAGGTGCGGCTGATTTGGGGGAGAGGTTTGCTTGGCTTGCAAGGCAAGGCAAAGCCTTCTAGAATAGTTTGGGGCGCCACTTTTCTAGGGCTTCTAGAGAAAATAGGTTTTGTGGCTGATTTGGGCCTTCTAGACTAGGATTCTTCTAGAAATAGGTTCTAGAATTATCCATTTAGGTCCCCATGCAATTAGGATTAAGACATGATAAGGTTTGGATAGGATAAGATGAGATAAGGTTTGGATAATGTTTTGGATAATGTTTCCTCTTTTGAGCTCCTACCTTATCCACTTTGTCCCAAGCTTATTCCTTCCTCTTCTTATCACATTTCTAGCCTCTTGAAGTCCAAATTCGTCCATCCATGTTGGCCCATATGTAAGCTATCCACATAGTGTCCAAAATCGCTCCAAAATGCACCAAAATGCCCTTTCTTGATACTTTACCCCATAGGACCTACAAACACACGAAATTGAGTTGTAATGCAACATTAACTAAGAAATAATAGCATAAATGCACAAGAATAAGCCAGTTAAGTCGCCTAAATATGCTCCTATCAATTTGCATAAGATCCAATCAATAAAAATGAATTACATTCAATGATTTGCAATTCAATCATTTTGCATAATATTCAATCGCTAAAATGAATTACATTCAATAATTTGCAATCCAATCATTTTGCATAATATCAATCATATGCATAAAAAAGTATTAATTAAAATAAAATATTATCATTAACACATATATCTTAAAATATCGCCACCTATGATCCGTAGAATCACTAGGCACATGTTGATGGGCTTTTAGTGGGATATTTTGTAATTGCAAAATTCCTTGCAACACACTATTAAAATACATACTTATAGCCTCTCACGACCAATAAATCTACCACCAATACTATGATTCTTAGTATGATGTGCTAGTATTTGTAAGGTCATACACACCTGCTCCTCCAAAGACACCAAACTATCATTTTTAACCCTCCAATCTTGACAAAGTACGTCACATAATATACCACAAGTGTTTATATCCATTCTTAATTCGTTGACGCATTTAGTATCACTATTCCTTATTATACCATTTAGATAACACAAACTAATCTCTCGTCTAGCAAGTGAATGGTCAGTCAAAACGCGTCTTTTAGCATGTCTCTGTTTGGCCTTTAGCATTATCAACACAAGAATCGTACAAGCATAAATTGTCTCTAAATGAGACATCTCTAACAAAAAGATCACTAAAAGCTTCCTTTGATCCATATCTATTCAAACTAAAAAAAAGAGGAAAAAATGAAGACATGATATATATATAATATCTCTATTATTAAAGGCATTGACAAAAGAAGTAATTACGCTATAAAATGAACGAGATCAAAAGAATTCATGATATAAAGAGAACCAAAACATCAAACAGCAACAACAAAAATAAAACATCAAGCAATGGCAAGGAAAATAAAACAGAGCAAAGTTGAGTGTCTTCCTTTGTAAAGAACTCAGAGTCATGGCCCTGATTGCTAACTTACACGTGACATGCAACTCTATTTTTATAAATTTCGTATGAAAGAAATCATCAAGAAATGTGTAACACCAAGTATCATGGCTAGAAAAGAAAGTAGGAAAGACATAAATGAACAACTTATCTCACTTTTCAAATTTTTAATAGGAAACAAGACCTGACTAATAAAACGTGATTGACACAATGGTGAGGACTAGATGCCTCTAAAGGAAGAAAACTAAAAATACGAAACTGAAGCATTATCTACCTACACTAAGACAACTACAATATACATCAAAGACAACACCAAAACACATTAAGAAACATCAACATTTCCAATTTGAAAAAAAAAAAAAAAGAACAGAAAAGAAACACTATAGACTTAAGCTTTTAGAAAATAAACCGAGCCAGATGCATAGACAATAGCAATAGAGAACCAATTAGAACATGCTCCATCAGAGCCAAGGGAACGGAGAAAACAGGGCACGGCTATAAGCAAAGCTAAAGTCGAATCTAAAACTCAACCCCGCCTCAACAGATTAGGGAAAGTTTCAACAGATTAGGGAAAGTTAAGGGGGCAAGGGATCTCGTCTTTTGAAATTTATGTCAAGTCCACTTCATGACAAATACTAGAGATCAGGAGGTGTTGATCATATGAAGAAACAATAGTGAGAATGCAGAAAAAGTTGAAATTTGAAAACTCCAATTATAATTTGAGAGTTTTGGCTAAGAACTCCTAGCGAACAAGATAATCCAAGCGAGTCATGTGTAATCTCATTAAACCTAATTCATGTGCATATCAAACATGAGACTACACTAGTAATTAGTTTAGTCTAGTCCCACCTAAGAATGTGAAACAAAGACACCCCAAATGTGTTAATTACATATATGTATTGTAACCAACTCCAAAATAAAAATTCCTCACATAAACTCTTTCTTTTTCCCGAAAACAACGTCAACAGTTAATTGAAATCAACGTCATTTCTAATTTCAAATCATTTAGTGAATAACTTTATTACGAATAAACATGCTCCAAAATCAAATCAAATCAAATCAAATCATGCCCCAAAGTCAGCACAAAAATGGGACTTGGCATGATATCCCGCCAAATTGATTGATCTAAAAAAGAAAAATTGGACTTTGTGGAGTCTTTTTTATTTTTTATTTTTTTATTTTTTTATTTTGACAGACAAAATTTTAAAATTTAAAATTTATATGCTTTTAAGATAATTCTAATGACGGGACATCATCACAATTAAAAATATATGGAAAAAAGTATTGAATAATAATAAATGTCCAGCTAACAAAACGTAGCTTTTGGGAGAGGAGAAGAGAGCCCCTGCCGCCGTGGAGACCTCGGACTCGTCCGTAACAGACTTTTCTCTCGCTCACTCTCCCACTCTACACTCTACTCTACTCTCTCTCCTCTCTCTTTCTCTCTCTCTCTCTACGGTTGTAAATAAATACAAGAACAAACAAACAGAGAAGGAAAAACAAACAATCCAATTGAAAACAGTAAATAAAAGCAAAGCGCAGAAAAAAGAAAAAGCGAAGCTTCCTTCGCAGCGCTTTGGGAATTTTCGTCTGCTGCCTTCTCTCTTCCGCCCGAACGGTACAATTCTCATGCTATTTCTGCTGACTGAATTCGGAATTTGAATTTTTGATTCCTTCCTGAATTGACAGATGTGTTCGGAGTTTTTTGTTCGTGGTTTAGTCTGCTTGATTTTGCTAGTTATTGTATAAATGTGAGTCCAGAAGCTGAAATGGCAGATCATCATGGAACGCCGAATCCGTTTATCTCCACTGTTTTCTGCGTTCACTTGGTTTGAGTGATTGCATTTGTGTGTGTATGTGTTCTTGAATATGTGAGTGATTGTTTAGCTCTCTTCCATTATTGTGCTTTTTTCCTTCGGGGCAATGAATGAAGCTTGTAATTGCGGTGCGGGATTAAATTGGAAAGGCTAGTATGATATCTGGATGGTAAAATGGGGCTGGTATTTTCGAAAGGACGGGGTGTTGAAAATACATTAAAGAGTCTTTGAATGTAAATGAATTGTTCCGTACTAAGGTTTTTCTCTTAATAGTATGACATTCTAGTATTCTACGCACAAAGTGTTTATCTAGTGGGGTTGAACGTAAACTAACTAATGTATTTGTACGTGATTAAAACTGTCTTTTAGGAAATTTACTTAATTAACACATATACGAAAAAACTAGGAAAAACTCCCCATAGCTTGCTCAAATAAAAGGTTTGAATATACAAAAATGTTCTACTTGAAGTCATAGACCCACACATGTCAACCACTCGTTAGCCGAAGGCAGGATGTGCCCTCACGCGCCGCCCAACCCACGGCCACATGCACGGCCACGTTCAGCACGTGCCTGACAGAACCCTAACGGATGTTAGGAATATTCCGTCAACTCTGATGAAATATTCGTCGTCTTCTCTGGTGACCTTTACTGTCCGCCGCTGTCTTATTCGTCAGAAACTGGGGATTTTCACCTATTTTTGGAAAATTTTCAAACCTTCATAACTTGCTCATTTCTCAACCATTTTCCATGCAATTTATATGGATTTGAAGTTTGTGAGAAGGAGAACAAAATCGTACCTTTTAAAAGTCTGAAAGGTGGATGGAAAGGGATTGAAAAAGCCTCGAAAGCTTTCGGCCTAAACTTTGACTCTTTGAACTTGCTGGTTTCAACATCAACTCGACCCCAAAATTAGTCTAGGGACCCTAAGGAGTTGTGTAAAATCTTCCCCATATCCTAAAACCTTGCAACTCGGCCTGAAACTCTTCGGAGCAAGACCAACCAACTTGTGATCGGTTGGTATGGTTATGTTCGTGAGGTCGAGTGGAGCACGGTGGTGGTGGACACTGGTTCAATTTGTGAAGATTTGGTGTTGTTCTTTTTTGTTGTAGAGAAGGGTAAAGTACGGGTTAGAGGGAGAGAGAAGGAGAAGAGAGAGAGTGAGAATGAAATCTGATTGGGGAGAGAAATGAGGGTGATTTCTAATTGGTGGGAGTGAAATGAGGGAAAAGACTTGATTGGTTGTGAGGGATTTGAGGGAAAGTCTAATTGGTTGGTAAAAGTGAGTAAGGCATGGGTCAGTTTTTAAAGAAAAGAAGTGATAAGGTTTGTACACATGAAATCAAAAGAAATCGACCGTACCTCATCAAAAACAGTGTTTTTAACGCTGAATAATTTAACGCACACTCGTAATGACGAATAAAATTTAACCATGATAACAGGAAAAGTACATCCACGTCACTTTGCCAACAAGGGCATAAAAGTCAATTTACACACTCGGGGATAAATTATACAGAAATTAGGGACGGGTCGTCACAACTTTGGTGCATGCTCGGACTGGAACTAAATTATTGATGTATTTTAAAGAAATTATCAAGATTAACAATATTGGATGAGAGTGAGACTCAACCCTTTCTTGTTCTTTGATACTGGAATTTCCCTAAACACACTCAAAAGTCCTTTGATGTTGGAATGTGAATGTTTGTTTATTTTTTTTTTCTATTTATGTTCTTTTTGTTTAATTGTCCAGCTTGAAATTGACCTTAAATGCTCTTTTACATAAATTGTCATCAACTTAACAGTACAAATGCTTGTATAAAAAGATAATTTTGGATGCTTCCTACTTATCATTTTTGTTTTGTTTTTTTTTTTTAATTGTTTAGCTTGAAATCCAGACACCAAGTTTGAAAAGAAATGAATAAAAAAGTTAATTGCTTATTGTAAACTGGCAAACAACCTTATACTAGATTTGCTTCAAACTTCCATTAAAGCCAACAGCTTTCCAGCAAATCAAAAACCAAATAACATACTTACAATAACTACAATATACGCTAGTTACAATAATTTGCAACATACTTGCAATAGCTAACTACAATATTATCATTCAAAAGTAGATCTCCATGATTCACAAAAAACTAGTCAACATTAGGCAAAATATTTCATAGTGCAAGACTAAGTTGGAAGCCAGAACCTAAGGTTGTACAATTAGCAAAATAAAATCCATATCAAAAGGCACCACATAATATAATCATTTGCTTGCTTTGTCGCTTAAAAGCTTTTGGACGAACGCTTTTTTGAGTTCGGAATCTTTTGACTTGAACATTCCCACATTTTGTGGTTTTTTCTTTCTTTTAGAATAAGAGTCGATTCTCAATTTGATGCATAGGAGAAAGACCTATTGCTTTAAGTTCGTTAACTATGTCACTATGATCTGCAGTACCTCAAACTATAGCTTCAGTTACAGTTTCAACATAAAATTCTGTCAGTCCATGGATAATTACCTCGGTTCCATGATTTAAACTTCTCATGCTTCTTTTCCTTTCTTTGACTACTTGTAGATTGGTTGCTTTGCTGGTTCATTGGAGAAACATCATTTTTATTTCCAATATCACTTGCATCAACCTCATTTTCGCTTTGCTCCTCCATCATTTCAGCAAGGGTTTCGACAACATTACCTGTAGCACGATTCTTTCCAAATATATATGTAAATCTATCATACAATGGAAAAGGTGTGCTTCTTCATCCCTCAGCATCTTTATCTTTCTAAGATTATATCAACATAGCAATATTAATATTTAGCATATGTTAAAAATAGAGCTACAAGAAAAAACTAATCGGTAAATAATATAGGATATGAACCTGCACATAAGTTTGTCATGCTTCATCACTGTCAACTTCAATGCATTTTTTGACAGCATTCCATAGAAATCCACTCGTGTTTGTCATGTCAAGGACTAGACTATATGTTTTTTTTCCATTTCTTCAACTTTGACTCAATATGTGGACTAACCTTTATATTTGAATTATGACATAAAACATTGACAGCTTTCGCAACTACAAGCAAAGTACCTTCTTTGAAAGCACTTGTGTCACACCAGTGCTTCCTAGTAACAAAATCCCCAAGAACAGATAGCAATGCTTCTTCCTCAAATACTTCCCATTTACGACTCTTTCTTTTCGGCTCTTGAGCAGCATTCAAATTATTGTCACTATCCATACCTAAACAACAAATATTTGAAAGTACTAAAGGATAATAAAATGAATCAATTTGCATAAGATTCAATCAATAAAAACGAATTACATTCAATGATTTGCAATCCAATCATTTTGCATAATATTCAATCGCTAAAATGAATTACATCCAATAATTTGCAATCCAATCATTTTGCATAATACCAATCATATGCATAAAAAAGTATTAACTAAAATAAAATATTATCATTAACACACATATCTTAAAACATCGCCACCTATGATTCGTAGAATCACTAGGCATATGCTGATGAGCTTTTAGTGGGATACTTTGTAATCGCAAAATTCCTTGCAACACACTATTAAAATACATACTTATAGCCTCTCACGACCAATAAATCTACCACCAATACTATGATTCTTAGTATAATATGCTAGTATTTGTAAGGTCATACACAGCTGCTCCTCTAAAGACACCAAACTATCATTTTTAACCCTCCAATCTCGACAAATTATGTCACATAATATACCACGAGTCTTTATATCCATTCTTAATTCGTTGACGTATTTAGTATCACTATTCCTTATTATACCATCCAGATAACACAAACTAATATCTCGTCTAGCAAGTGAATGGTCAGTCAAAGCGCGTCTTTTGGCATGTCTCTGTTTGGCCTTTAGCATTATCAACACAAGAATCATACAAGTAGTAATTGTCTCTAAATGAGACATCTCTAACCAAAAGATCACTAAAAGCTTCCTTTGATCCATATCTATTCAAACTTAAAAAAAAAAAGGGAAAAAACGAAGACATGATATATATAGTATCTCCATTATTAAAGGCATTGACAAAAGAAGTAATTATGCTATAAAATGAACTAGATCAAAAGAATTCACGATATAAAGAGAAAGAAAAACATCAAACAGCAACAACAAAAATAAAACATCAAGCAATAGCAAGGAAAATAAAACAGAGCAAAGTTGAGTATCTTCCTTTGTAAAGAACTCAGAGTCATGACCCTAATTGCTAACTTACACATGGCATGCAACTCTATTTTTATAAATTTTGTATGAAAGAAATCATCAAGAAATGTATAACACCAAGTATCATGGCCAGAAAAGAAAGTAGGAAAGACATAAATGAACAACTTCTCTCACTTTTCAATTTTTTAATAGGAAACAATACCTGACTAATAAAACACGATGACACAACGGTAAGGACTAGATGCCTCTAAAGGAAGAAAACTAAAAATACGAAACTGAAGCATTATCTGCCTACACTACAACAACTGCAAAATTCATCAAAGACAACACCAAAACACATTAAGAAACATCAACATTTCCAATTTTTTTTTTTTTAAAAAAAAAGAAAAAGAACAGAAAGAAACACTATAGACTTAAGCTTTTAGAAAATAAACCGAGCCATATGCATAGACAATAACAATAGAGAACCAATTAGAATATGCTCCATCAGAGCCAAGGGAATGGAGAAAACAGGGCATGGCTATAAGCAAAGCTAAAGTCAAATCTGAAACTCAACCCCGCCTCAACAGATTAGGGAAAGTTAAGGGGGCAAGGGATCTCGTCTTTTGAAATTTATGTCAAGTCCACTTCATGACAAATACTAGAGATCAAGAGGTGTTGATCATATGAAGAAACAATAGTGAGAATGCAGAAAAAGTTGAAATTTGAAAACTCCAATTATAATTTGAGAGTTTTGGCTAAGAACTCCTAGCGAACAAGATAATCCAAGCAAGTCATGTGTAATCTCATTAAACCTAATTCATGTGCCTACAAAACATGAGACTACACTAGTAATTAGTTTAGTCTAGTCCCACCTAAGAATGTGAAACAAACACACCCCAAATGTGTTAATTACATATATGTATTGTAACCAACTCCAAAATAAAAATTCCTCACATAAAATCTTTATTTTTCTCGAAAACAACGTCAACAGTTAATTGAAATCAACGTCATTTTTAATTTCAAATCATTTAGTGAATAACTTTATTACGAATAAACATGCTCTAAAATCAAATCAAATCAAATCAAATCATGCCCCAAAGTCAGCACAAAAATGGGACTTGGCATGATATCCCGCCAAATTGATTGATCTAAAAAAGAAAAATTGGACTTTGTGGAGTCTTTTTTATTTTTTATTTTATTTATTTATTTTTTTTGACAGACAAAATTTTAAAATTTAAAATTTATATGCTTTTAAGATAATTCTAATGACGGGACATCATCACAATTAAAAATATATGGAAAAAAGTATTGAATAATAATAAATGTCCAGCTAACAAAACGTAGCTTTTGGGAGAGGAGAAGAGAGCCTCTGCCGCCGTGGAGACCTCGGACTCGTCCGTAACAGACTTTGCTCTCACTCACTCTCCCACTCTACACTCTACTCTACTCTCTCTCCTCTCTCTTTCTCTCTCTCTCTCTACGGTTGTAAATAAATACAAGAACAAACAAACAGAGAAGGAAAAACAAACAATCCAATTAAAAACAGTAAATAAAAGCAAAGCGCAGAAAAAAGAAAAAGCGAAGCTTCCTTCGCAGCGCTTTGGGAATTTTCGTCTGCTGCCTTCTCTCTTCCGCCCGAACGGTACAATTCTCATGCTATTTCTGCTGACTGAATTCGGAATTTGAATTGTTTGATTCCTTCTTGAATTGACAGATGTGTTCGGAGTTTTTTGTTCGTGGTTTAGTTTGCTTGATTTTGCTAGTTATTGTATAAATGTGAGTCCAGAAGCTGAAATGGCAGATCATCATGGAACGCCGAATCCGTTTATCTCCACTGTTTTCTTCGTTCACTTGGTTTGAGTGATTGCATTTGTGTGTGTATGTGTTCTTGAATATGTGAGTGATTGTTTAGCTCTCTTCCATTACTGTGCTTTTTTCCTTCGGGGCAATGAATGAAGCTTGTAATTGCGGCGCGGGATTAAATTGGAAAGACTAGTATGATATCTGGATGGTAAAATGGGGCTGGTATTTTCGAAAGGACGGGGTGTTGAAAATACATTAAAGAGTCTTTGAATGTAAATGAATTGTTCCATACTAAGG